CCAACACTGCGAGGCGAGCCTCGCCACCCGGAGCATGGCTGGGCACACGGCTGCTGATTCCGCCCGTGTCCCTGAATCACATGCTGCGCTGAGGAAGCGAAGACCACCGAATCTCAGTATCCCAGGCTGCTCATGGAGCCCTCCATGAAAACCTAGTCAACCACTACATTGTGGAATCGGAGGGCTACTCCTTCAGGGTTTTGAACTTCCTCCCTGGCAATCAGACCAAGGCCGGTTGACCTGGGGGGTTATTCCCTGCTGCAGAGCCTGGTGCAGAGCCTGGTGCACGGCACTCTTCCTCTCTCTTCCACGCCGCTCTCCCAGCACAAATATCACTCTAGGGGAATTGGGTGTCCAAAGGCCTGGACTCCCGACTCTACGCTACACAAAGTATGCGCTGCGCCAGGCGATGTTTGGCTTCGACTTTCTTGGCTTCAGCATCGAGATTTGGATAGAAAAAACCCTTCCAAGCTTTGTTGCATGTGCCTCAGAATGGAGGGAAAAAACCTCACCAAATCTCCTCAACCTCATCAGCCCCTTCGCTTCCTGCATGGATCGGGCGCATGACTCCTGGCACCAAAGGGTCAAACCTCAAAGCAAAGTATGGTGTTTTCCTATCGGCCCTCTGAGCTATGGTCTGCCAACTGGCTAAGTTTCTTCAAGGCACCGTGAAAGCCAGGGCATTCAGAATCACGCTCCAGTCCATGCAAAACAAAGTATTGCCAACCCACATGCCAGAGCGGCCAGGGTCGGTCCTGTCCAATTGTCCAGACTTGCGCCGCAAGATGGGTGCACAAGTTGATGTAAAATTGCAATAACGTTTCTTAAGCAGAAAACATAGGCAATGGAAGCTTTCAACGGCATTCGCACGCAACAAACAACACGCACTCCTACGCAACATCGCAAACCTGGACTCATCGCAGACCTGGAAGCTCTCATGCGCCTCCTGCACTGCTGAGTTGCATGCAGCAAATCCATGGCTCTGCATCGCCTCATCCTTTCAGCTTTGCGCCAACAGGATGGGCGAAAGACTGGGCTCAAGTCGTAAGACTTGACTGAATTTGACTAGGCATCACCCCTGGTGGATTCTTGCAGCCGATTCGGGCTTGTGTTGGCGAGTTGGCCTGCTTTTCACGAAATGGCCCAGTGGCCCATGAGCACGGGAATTCTCCTCAAACTCTGTGTCCCCTTGCTGAGGAAAGGGGTCAGCCGAATCCAACAGGGCTTTGGCCCTTGCTCACTTTGCTCTTAGAACTGGATGCGAAGCCAGTGGCCGCTGAAGGGGTTTACCACCAGGGCATTCAAGTGCGCCTCCATCAGGGAGAGAATCGTCATGGCGTTGTAATACCTTTCGCCAGTTCGGCTGCGCTCCGGCACCAGGACCAAAGCCACGGCGGCATCATCTGATCCGGGCTCCGACAAGCTGAGGGGCGCTAGGAAGTTGATGGAACCGCCACGCACGCAATTTCGGTCCTTGGTTTGGCAACTTGCCTTGAAATCCCGCCGTGGCTGTGGCTATTAAATGGACAATCAAAACCTATCAAAACATCTTAGGTACTGATCTGAGAAGCGGTAAAGTACTGGGGGACGGCGCAATGGGGCGAATTCCTGAGCCGGGTGATCGCCCACTGCACTCGCTGATTGATGTCAGCGTCACTTAGGTGGGAGAACTCCACTGGGATGCGATGCGAGCGGGCTTCGTGCCGAATGTGCTGGGCAATGCCCACGACATTGACCCTGGCCCTGGGATCAAAGGTCAGATCCTCCCTGCGGCTGGTCTCGAAGGCCGCCGGCACCAGCGGCACCCCAGACTCCTCAAGACGGCAAATGGCATCACGACAACAAAGGTCGAAGTCTGGGAGCAGCTCGCGCAGGCTATTTCTCAGCATGGAGGACATCCTGGGCTCACTGCAAAGGTTCGAGGAAGGGAACAAGTGTGCAAACAGCAGCTGGTTGGGGTTGGAGGGTGAGCCTCCCATCCGGTTGTTGGGCACCAGTACCAGCAGCAGGCGGGCCGTGAAGTCGTGGCGAGACACCATGTTCGAGTTGAGGATCAGCAGGAAGACCTCTTGCCTTGGTCCGTCAATGCCGAACCACCACATCGCCGGTGTCTCCTCCTCAACATCTTCCTCCCGGAGGTTGCGATCAACTCGATGCCAAACCGAGTGAAGCAAGTAGTTCTTGATTTCCGGCTCATTGATGGCCCTCGGGAAGTTGGTCAAACTCCTCTCCTCCGGCGCCAGGCCACGCCACTTTTGCACCACTTTCGATGGCATGTAAATCTGTGGGCCAAAGTCCATGTTCCGGAGGCGGCTGCGATGCCAACCCATGCCCCCCCTTGCCGCTCCCACGGCCTCCCAAGCCACAGAGGCATCCCCATCAGAGAGCGTCCCCCAAGAGACGGTCTCAGTGGTGGACACAGAGCGGCTCCGCCCCCTCCACCGGCGTGCCGTCTCTTGCCTAAGCACCAACAAGTTCACTATGGCCACCATGGCCACTATGGCCACTATGGTGTGGGGATGGTGAGGCCAAACCTGATTTGCAAATTGAACTGCTGCCTGGACACTGAGCAGTTTCTTCCACGCGCTGCCCTTCCGTGGCCGCTGCGGCAGGCGTGGCTGTCTGCGGACGGCCCTGGAACTGCACTTGAGGCACTGTCATTTGTAAAGCCAAAGCTGTGCCCTACTCCCAGCACACTGAATCTCAACTCCAAACCAATCCAACCACTGCAATCTTCTTCGCAACCTACCTCCCTGAGAAAGCCCTCAGGGGAAGGCCTCCACTCTTACTTCAAGAATGCGTAGCCGATTCGTTTCCAGAGTGCCCCTGTCAACTGTCAGGGCCCAGGCGCTCCACATGCCAATCGTCCCGCTTCATACGAGGAGGACACACCGCACAGGAAACTCCAGGAAGCTCCACGTCGGATGCTTCAAGGAAGGCGCACCGCAAAAGGTATCTCCACAGAGGACACACCGCAAAGGCCCCGCAACTTAAGACACGCCACAAAAGACACTCTACGTAGCACAAACCACAAAGGACACTCAATCCACATAGACCACACCACTAGCACACGCCGGGCAAAAGACACACCATAGAAGACACTCCACATCGGACACTCCGCATAATAAGTTGCCGCAAAGGACACACATGTTTTTGGTCGCCAGCTGCCTTTTGGGCCAATTGGCCATCGGTACCGCAAAGAACACACAAAAGGTCACACCGCAGAAGACACACCACACAGACAAGCCACACAGGACTCTCCACGCAGCACACACCACAGCGGACACTTCACATAGGACACACCACAGAGGAATCTCCACGGAGCACACACCACAGAAGACGCTCCACGTAGCACACACCATAGAAGACGCTCCACGTAGCACACACACCACAAAGGACACACCAAAAATAACAAATGACAGACCAAAAACAACAAAGAACACACCACAGCATACACCAAAAAGGACACACCACATATCAAACACACAGCGGACACAGCACAGCGGGCAGCACACCAAGCAGGATACTTGACACACCACAGAGGACACTCGACTTACGCCACAAAGGGCACACCACAGAGGACGTGCCGCCAGAACACGCCACAAAGGACACACCACACAGGACGCATCACAGAGGATATTCCACACAGGATTAGCCACAGTGGATACTCCAAACAGGACACAACTGGTAGATCTGCTTGCGTCTGCCTTCTGAGAATGCGCAACAATCAAATTGAACCGGTACGAACCGAGGCTAGCTGGCCCTTTGACCGAACCGAGGCCCAACATGAACTGGACAAAGTTCTGATCATTCTGGGAATGATGTTGTGCACAACGGTTCACCCTGCATCTTTGCACGAACTGTTTCTTTGCTTGCTTGCTTGCCTGCTTGCTTGCCTGCTTGCTTGCCTGCTTGCTTGCGTTGCAAACGAATAAAGGGCTGTTTGCTTCGCAAAGTTTCGATGCGCTCAGCAAAGGTTCCGTTTAGCAAATAATTGATGTTGTCCCAAATGGTTTATGCGGATGTTTCGCAACGCTCATTGTTGAACTTTGTGTCGGGCTTGTTGCACGCCAAAGTTAGTGTAAGGAAGATATGTCCGCCCGCCGCCACTGATTTGTAACAAGGTCTTTCTTCTGAAAACCATTTCTCCACTTCCAGCCTGTGGCACCGCCTCCTGTTCAGCTTCATCACTTCGGGGTTCTTGACGAGCCGCTTGACCGTTGAGCTGGGGAGTCTGTGGCCTCTTGGCACGTGGCTCAGCTGACTGCTCAAGCCGGCTCGATGAAGCATCGCTTGGCAACGAGGCTGTCTCACACCTTGGCAAGGCAGCGCATGTGTCTGATCACGGATAATCACGCCTCATGTCTGCGTGCACCACCAAAATCAACATAGACTTGCCTGCCACTGGCCCTAGCGCGACAAGTCAGAGAAATGGGAGTTTCGCACGCAGCCGAAGCTTCATAAAGTGTCACTGTTCCACACGAAACACGCCACAACCTGAACATGACATAGCATAAGCAACATGCCAAAACAAGGGATGAATGGCAGCCACCGCTGGGGGAAGTCACAGCATCAGCCACCACTACACAACATATCACAAAATGCTGCCCCGTGGGCGAAGGAACATCTGAAACTTGCTGCTGCAAGGCAACGCAAAGCCTGCCAACCGCTGGCCAGCCGTGGCTGCGGCAGCTGCTGTGGCTGCTGGTGCTGGGGTCGTCGGACTGCCCTGGCGCCGCAGAGCAAGCAATGTCCATCACACGCTTACTTCATTGACTGACCAAAGGTAGCATTTACCGCGCACGGTCACTCGACTGGCTGAAACATATTTTGCAACAATGCCCGCTGTTTGGAATTTGGATGCTGTGGCACTTGTCGCCCCACACTCCATGTCTGCTTGCCTCTGGCTTTCCATAGTATCCCGTTGGCCCTCCCATCATGTTCCTCTAGGGATTAGTGAAGGAAAAGCGGCTTGTCCATCACTATCGCGTCGCTCGTTACTATTGCGCTTGCGCATCGTCTAGGCTTACAGGGCGCTTGGGACTATCAATGACGACATGCTGCGTGAAGCGTTCTGCGGTGCGTTGCAACGAACAGGCTGCGCGCGAGGCAAATCCAGCACTATACTTGGCCTGCTGCAAGCAACCTGACGGAACACGCCCCGGGAGATCCCCACTCTTGGATCGCGCCCGAGTGCTAGTCCCGGCCTGTGAAGGATCTGAAGAAATCAAGGGCGAGCTTGCCTTGTCGAAGTCGCTCATCAGGCTACACAGGCTCGCACTCTCGCGCCGCAGGGATTCCTTGAGCTCATCTGCCAACATGATGATGTCCGCACCCTGAGCAATGAAGGCTGACGAGAAGCGGGCGCCATACGCGCATTCCTCAAAGGCGCCATTGCACAGCCTCGCAAATTCTTTGGCTGACAGGCGCGTCGGCCAAGCTCCGTCGCAGGCTCCCTTTCGAAGTTGAAACTGCTCCTTCTTGGGGTCAAAGGCCACCGCCACATGCCTTTCAAACTCCTTGAATGGCAACTTGGAAGGTGTTGTGAGAAGGGCCTCGCGATCCTCCGTCTCCAACTTCTCTTTGATCCCGGCTCCATCGTGGTCTTTTCCTTTCCTTTCGGACCAAACACGCTGCCTCTGACCATAAGCACGAAGGGAAGCCCAATTCAAGATTTCCACGATGTCCTTCAACTTTGCCTCAGGGGGCCAAAGCTCCTTGGTCAACACTTTCCGCTCAATCCAGCCCTTCCGGGGCATGAACGGCAACTTGTCCTTGATGAAGTGAGCCACAACCTTCTCCGTGTAGTTCTTCAACCACTTCTTCTCGTCCAGTTCCAGCTTCTTGAAGCAGCGAGGCGGCTCCATGTCTGGGTTTGGGAACCTGAGCTGGGCGACACCCGAGGCACGTTGGTGAAATAGCTGCAGGTGTTTGCCAAACTTTCTGCCATTACAATTCAAACTGGCAACAAAAGTGCTTACTAGCAAGGGTCGCTGTTCAAGTTGCCGTCTGCAGCAATTCACAGTGATGTTGTTGCAACAAGCATGCCTATTTGTGGAGACCGCGTGCACTATAGGTCAAAACGGTTTTCCGCAGGGGGAATCTGTTTTGAAGTTGATGACCACCCCCTACAACCCAAATTATTTCCAGTGTTTGACACAGTGGCAAGTCAGTTGACGACAAGCAACGGTCGCACAGCCACGCCAATCACACAAAGAGGCTTCCTAACTACCCTAGATCAAATTTGGGCCAAAAGCCACGGTAAATTCTGTGGCCCCTCCAACACCAAGCCTTGATCACTCCAGAACAAGCGCCGGAGGCAGTCGAGCGTCTAGATGGCAATGATTGTCTTGGGACCAAGCAGCTTCGACATTCCCGGCATCGGGTCAGGTTTGCTGCGGCCTGTTTCGCTCAATTTGTCAATTTGTTGCTGATTCAGCTTGTGTTCCACGATTTTGGCGTTTTCTTGTTTTGACGCACTTCGAGGCATTTCGGGCTCTGGGACGCTGGAATATGGACTCAAGTAGAAACGGCATTCGCGAATTTGGCTTTTGATTCGCGCTTTGCCACAGGGTACCAGGGCGGCCTGCTCAAAGGCATCCCCAATATCATTGCCGTTGCTGAATCATCTCGGGGGCCATAATACGGAGTTATTTTAAACTGGATTGCGTTGCGTAGGTTCTCAAGATTGACTTGCAGGGGTCTCTCGGGGCCTGCATGAAACGAGAGCCAACAAAGACTCTCATGCAGTGCCCGTGATGCGGATTGGGACACCAATCCGCGCACCTGCCCTGGGAGGACAGGCTGTTGCTTCTCCAGTCAGGTCGGGTTGTGATGTTGTTCCTTGTGTTGCTTATTGAATTGCAAGTTGCAAAGGTTGGCCACCGGTTGCGCATCGACTTCTTTCCCTACATGGAGCATTCTTAGCTGGCGCCATGTTTAGCAAATGTTAGAACCTTGCCCGTTGGGGTGTAAGTGTGTCACTCCTTAGCAGGGAGATCCCTGGATGACCGATTTGTGTCTCCAGGACGGCTCTGCTGTTGCATCTAAGCCACCGGCTGAAAACTAAGACTTTCACTTACCAGGTAGCAGATTCCAGTTGATCAGTGCTCACCTCAGAGGCGCATAAGGACCACCTTCTCAAGGTTGCCACTTGCCTCTGACAGATCGTTTGCTTTGCTTTGCAGTGGGTTTTGTCCGAACAATCAGGCCTGGTCCTTCCTCAGGGCCTTCGAGATCGCCAGTTAGAATCCTGTTCACTGCTTCAAGCCAATAACAGGGGGACCAGCCAAGGAAAAAGCAAGGTAAACCGTCAAGGCGAACCCACCGCTTCTTTTTCCGTGGAGTTGCTCAGAGGTGCAGGCCCAGAGATGCAGGGGGACTGACAATGCGTGCCCAGCCCCTTTTCCTGCATCTAATGCGGGGCCTAATATCTAACCCCCAGGTCAACAACGCGTGTTTGACCTGCGCACTAGGTGTTTTACCTCTGGGGCGTGAAACGGACCGGGGGAAAGTATGACTGACATGGTGCAAAGCGTGCACCATGTGTTTAGGATGCAATGCGTGCATCCTGAAGGTTGAGGCAAAGTAGTGCGTACTATGCCAACCTCAATTTTCGTGTCGAGGCGAGACACGATCATGCTGCATGCACATGCATGCTGAGGTGCTGTCACCCGAGGTACACCTCAGAATGGACAGGGTGGGTGGGTGGGCTTCTAAAAACGGGTTCAAACCCATAGAAGAAGGTCCCCCAAAGGCTTGAAGCAGAAATGGCAACGCGGCCGAAGATTCAACCAGGATTAAAACAACGGGGAAAAGAAAACCCCAAGCGTTAGAATCCTGTTCACTGCTTCAAGCCAAAACAGGGGGACCAGCCAAGGAAAAAGCAAGGTAAACCGTCAAGGCGAACCCACCGCTTCTTTTTCCGTGGAGTTGCTCAGAGGTGCAGGCCCAGAGATGCAGGGGGACTGACAATGCGTGCCCAGCCCCTTTTCCTGCATCTAATGCGGGGCCTGATATCTAACCCCCAGGTCAACAACGCGTGTTTGACCTGCACGCTAGGTGTTTTACCTCTGGGGCGTGAAACGGACCGGGGGAAAGTATGACTGACATGGTGCAAAGCGTGCGCCATGTGTTTAGGATGCAATGCGTGCATCCTGAAGGTTGAGGCAAAGTAGTGCGTACTATGCCAACCTCAATTTTCGTGTCGAGGCGAGACACGATCATGCTGCATGCACATGCATGCTGAGGTGCTGTCACCCAAGGAACACCTGTGAGGCATGGTGCAAAGCGTGCACCATGTGATCAGGAAGCAATGCGTGCAACCTGATGGTTGAGGCAAAGTAGTGCGTACGGCAAGACACGACCATGCGGTATGCACACGCATGCTGAGGTGCTGTCACCCGAGGTACACCTCAGAATGGACAGGGTGGGTGGGTGGGCTTCTAAAAAAGGGTTCAAACCCTTAGAAGGTCCCCCAAAGGCTTGAAGCAGAAATGGCAACGCGGCCGAAGATTCAACCAGGATTAAAACAACGGGGAAAAGAAAACCCCAAGCGTTAGAATCCTGTTCACTGCTTCAAGCCAATAACAGGGGGACCAGCCAAGGAAAAAGCAAGGTAAACCGTCAAGGCGAACCCACCGCTTCTTTTTCCGTGGAGTTGCTCAGAGGTGCAGGCCCAGAGATGCAGGGGGACTGACAATGCGTGCCCAGCCCCTTTTCCTGCATCTAATGCGGGGCCTGATATCTAACCCCCACTTTAGGGCTCTGAGCAACCAGTTATTCTACTCGCCCCCTCTTCAGTGTGGTTGCGAGGCGTTCCTGTGCTCTGGGCGCCAGGGTGCATCATGCGGATGCAATGTCAACGCGGACTTATGGGGCCAGAAATCATGTGGCCGGAAACGTATTCTGGCTTGAGGGCGATCGAATGCCGAGAGGTGTTATATTCGCCTAAGTCTGGCTCGAGTGCCTACCAGTGGTGGACTGGTGTCAGCCGAACGCTCGATCGACCCATGAAATGGATACAACCACCGCAGCTGGGGCAACCATTCACCGGGGTGCTCGTCTTGGCCGACCACTGCGACCTGCCGGACCTCACGCTTGCGGTCTCCTCTTTGAAGGGGACCGACCTCCTTGCGCTGGTGCCTGTTGAGGTTTTTCTCGAGGCCCCGCTGGTCACGGTTTACAACTTTGAGGTGCACCAAGACAACGGACAATGGCTGCTCTTCCCGAGCAACATCTCCACCGTGATCCCACACCAACCACGCGGGCTGCTTGCCTACAAGACCATGAAGGAAGTGTGTGCTGGCATGGGCGGCATCGCTCTCGGAGCGGCAAGCGCTGGGGTCAGAACAGTGGCCCACATGGACACAAACCCCTTGGCATGCAGCACGCTTAGAGCCAACCAGGCCTTGAATGTGATTCAGGGCAGCGTTTGCAGCGACACAGACATCCTGAAGTTGCACCTTGCCAACACGGCAGAGCCTACAATCCTGGGAGCAGGCTTTCCTTGTCAGCCTTTTAGCCGGCAAGGAGATGGCCGAGGATCTCAGGACTCCAGAGCTTCCGCGTTTTGGGGCACTCTTCGTACAGCATGGCTACACCAAGCGTCGGCAGTTCTGTTAGAATGCGTGGCCAATGTCCAGAACTTCCCCTTTGTACAGGAAAGCTTGCAGCTTTTCGCCGGGCACATGGGATTTCAGGCCAAGTTTGTCCTCCTTGAGCTGCAGCACCAATGGCCAGTTCGCCGGAACAGATGGTGGGCGCTTTTGATCCCAGCTGCCATGGATGCCTCTGAGCTAAATCCATGGCCAATGGACATGCGCAGGCCCACTGTGGGGCACATCATTCCGGCATGGCCCTTGTGGTCCCGTAACGAAGAACTCGCCCTTGGTCTTGATGATGATGAGATGGATGCTTACAGCAACCCAGCACACGGCACACAGCACCGGCGCCTGGAACTCACCAGCATTTGCCCCACCGTCCTTCACAGCTATGGATCCGCACTGACGGCTTGTCCATGCGGCTGCCGCAAGCAGGCACTCAGCTCCAACCGACTCATCACAGGCGGTCTCAGGGGCTTCTACATCATCTCCCAAGTTACCAACAAGCCGAGGTTTCTGCACGTTCAGGAGCTTTGCCTCCTGCACACGGTACCAGCTGGGTACTACTTTGTGGGAGCAGCCAGGGATGGATTGTGTCTGCTGGGACAGATTGCGGCCCCTTTGCAGGCGCTTTGGATCACCAGCCATCTTCTTCGGGCTGTTCAGAAATTTTTCAGCCGAACGCCGCTTGCCGAACCGCTACAGCTTCTGGAGGCACACAAGCAGCAGCTACTATTCCAACGACACCACCACTGGCAGACAGATCAATCACATGCCACACAGCATCTCCTCATTCACGACGGACATGGATGGCTGCCAGTCATTCGGGACGGCTTCCTAGAAGTCGATCATCTTCTCCGTGCAGAACAGCAACTCGACCACACCACCACACCCAGCCTTTGGGATGGGCCGCATCAACTGCCCAAGCACGCCGTCTTGCAAGACATTGGGTTCCTGGGCCCTACGAACTCCGCAGGGAACCAACCCAGGAACACCAGGCAGGACTCAGCGACAGACACATCAAAGACGTGCTGGCCACCCTGAAGCTTCCCAATGACGACCTACCCCACCACACCCCCGGGATCGATGCTTGCATCGGCGGCCACATCCCGAAACACCCAACCTCCACACTGCCAATCGCTTTCTTTGCGATTTGTCTACACAACCAACACTGGACCCTCCTCACGAGGGGCCGGGGCTCCCAGCAAGCTTTCACACACTGGAACAGCTTGCACACTACTACCACACCAGACACCAGCATCCCA